TGCACACACCCAAGTGAGCCTGGGTACCCGCCGAGGTCCTGGTCCAGGGGACCCCCATCCTGGAGGTGGCCCAGGTGGAGCTGTGGATTGTGTCCATGCGGCTGGGCCTTGTTCTCATGATGGTGGAATTGTCTTTGCTTTGTGACCTGAAGTGGTCACCTCTGTGACGTTCAGGAGGGAGGGTGGCCCTGCAGGGTCAGGTTTATCTTGACCAATCTCTTTTGAGGCGTGAAAGAGATTGAACAAACGAGGCACCTAGAGACGCCCAAGCAGAGCTGGAGCGGAGCGCATCCTTTGGACCCGAGGTCCCTGAGCTGGGAACCTGCTAGACCCGGGGGACGCTGGATGCCAAGACACATGGGGATCTCCAAGGAGTGCCGGGCCCACGGATGCTGAAAGGAGACCAGGACCTTCCCTCAGAGCCAGCACAGAGAGTCTTCCCCTAGGGCCGGTGCCCTGAATTCAGGCTTCCAGCCTCTTAAACTGTGAGGAAGTAACTGTCTGTTTGGGAAAGCCCGCCCACTCCCACCCCCACCCCCATGGCATGTCTCTCTTCACAGCACCAGAGAACCAAGCCGGGTGGCAAACGCTCACGTCCCTCCAAAAGCCAGGGAGAAGGTGGGCATGGTGGGCCAAGGGAGGCAGCTCAGAACCCTCCTGGCCCACAACCGTCCCATGAAGCTCGGGCCCAACCCCGGCTGGCTGTCTGTCTGTCTCACAGTGCCACCTGGTTGTGACCGTGAGGCTGGCGGCTGTGCCATCAGCACTTCGAACACCAGCAGGGCCACGCCTGGTGGACTGGCCTCCACGGAGCCCCCGGACTCAGGCTAGTGACCTACTTCCAAAACCTGTTGTTGTTGTTGCTGTTGTTTGTCCTCACGTCAGTCCCAACCCACAGCAACCCCATGCACAGCGAAAGGACACGCTGCCCGGTCCTGTGCCGTCCTCACCATGGCCCCTGTGCCCGAGCCCATCCGTGCAGCCACTGTGCCCGTCCACCTCCTTGAGAGCCTTCCTCTC